CCCCCCCCCCCCCCCCCCCCCCCCCCCCCCCCCCCCCCCCCCCCCCCCCCCCCCCCCCCCCCCCCCCCCCCCCCCCCCCCCCCCCCCCCCCCCCCCCCCCCCCCCACGCATGATAGTGATCATTATTTCGTATAAACACTTATATTTAAGTTTGCAAGAATTATTTTGTTCTTTGATTTGTTTCTCACGGTGTACTCTGTCGAAAAAAGAAAAGAAGATCGTAGCATGTTGCTTTGTCATGAAGAATTAGTAGTTGTAAGATAATATGTAAATCTAAGAAAGAGAATTTTTTCAGACAGGCTAAAATTAAAATCAAAATCAAAGATATATCTCTATATAGATTCACATGCAAATTTTAAAAGTTATGTTAAATCTTTATTTTTAACAACAATGAATAAGAACTAAGATAATTTGTGAATCGAATCCGTATATGATCAAAAAAGCGTAAAAAATCAGTAAAATATCTTTGCACGAAAGTATACATCTAATTTTTCATGGCAGAGAGTTTATCTAGTTTATCTCAGATTTTTCTGTTCAAACTATGTCTAGTTTAACGGTAAATTGAGATTTTTATCTATTCTACAATGGCAAAATTATGCTAATTTATCTAGTTAACATACTTGAAATCAATTTTTCCACTATTGTCAGCATCAAACGTTCGAAATATGTGTTCACAAAATGCTTCCGCTTTTCCATTTGGAAAAAATTGTCTATAAACTTGAATAAATTTCTTCTTTGTTAATTCTCCTGTTGGACAATCAAGCTATAAAATAAAAAAATATGATAGTGTAAAATAAACTACACATCTACTAGAGCTAATTAAAAATATTTTAATTCTTAGAGTAGACAATTTCATAAAATTGAGATTAGTATTAGAAAGAGTATCTATTTTAAATTCGTTAATTATTATTTATCGACATGTTTCTAATAAAATCTTTCATCATTGTTTTTTCTTACTCATAGGAATTGATATGATCTATAAGTGTCGATTCAAGTTTATGTTTGTATTTTTTATCAGTAAGTTGTATATACACTGCCTCTATTTTCATTATTACTTCATATTTAGGAAATATTGAATATTTTGAATAGATGACAAAAAATATTCTATAAGTCTATGAAGGAATGACTAATTCAATTGTCGCATTTCAAACAAGTCTGGTTAATAATGAATGTAGTTTGTCGTTATGAATTGAAGCATAGAAATTAGATAGTGAGAGAACAATTCATAATCAACCATTTTTGTATAGTATTATTGATTAATGATCTTTGAATATATTTCCTGTATAATATTTTATCGTTTAAAAATAGATTGAGTTTAAATAAACTATTGGATAATAGATAGATAAAGGGTAAACGTACGTGCTCTATAATCATTTTTAACCTAAAACTTAACTGTCGATCATATTCATCTACATTTGTTTCCTATTGCATTAAAACCCTACTGAAAAATGTCATCTCTAGTTCAATTAATTTTTTTTTTTTTTGTTTTAATTAAAAAGAATATTGAAATTGACAGATATAGAGAATAAACAACAAATTTAAACTACTAGAACTTTGCTTTTTTCATTAAATGCCTTATTATAATATAATTAATTAAATATCAAGAATAAAAAGAAAAAGCGAAAAACAATCGAATCGTTTATGTCTATCTAAATTTGTCAAGGGAAATATGCTTAATTTCATTCTTTCTCTTCTAATTAGAGATATATTTAATAATTCAAGAAATAAAAATTAATCATGCAGAAAATTTAAAATGAAAAATAACAACAGTTACTCGATAAAGTTGTAAAAAAAACAAAAAATGATGTTTTTGACTATCATCAATATTCAATAGCTTATATTTGACTATAATGTCATATTGTTGTCTCAGCGACACATCCTAATGAATAAATTTAAAACATTTTTGTATATATTTACACATGAACAAATAAACAACAACAACAACAACAACAAAAAAAAAATCTTAATATTGATTGTTTATTTTTTGCTTTCTTTCTCCTCAAGATTGTACTATAAACTGATAAAAGTCAAATAAAAAAACAATGTAAAATTATTCTCAGAATTATATTTTTGAATATGAAATAATTTTAAAAGAAAAAAAAATTGACAATATATAAAATTGTTTTTGAATCAAATAGTATAACATATTTTTTGGATTATTAAATAATTTTTTTTTTCACACATTTTTCATGTATAGTTTTCTTTAATAAAAATTAGTCACATTTTTCTCGAGATTCATGTATTTTTTATTATATAAGTAAAAGTATTTGTTGATTTGAATAGTGAAAATAAATAAATGTTTTTCTAAAAAAGCTCTATATAGATTAATAAAGCAAATGTTTATAATAAAAAAAAAAAAAAAATCTGATTTTCCGTTTTATTTAAAACATTTTATAGACGTGTCGAAATAAATCATCTTTTGTATAATAGAAGAGAAGATTTATCTAATGAGCAATTTGTGATAATGGAGTATTTTGGTTAAAAAATGACAAATGTTCTTTGTATAAGTTTCTTTGATGATAGTAGGAAAAAAAAAAAGAGGAAAAGCAACGTTGTTGATGTAAACTGAAAAAAAAAATAAATTCTTTTATCTGTATAAGCTCATTAATCCAAGATAGTAAAAAAAAAAAAGAAACAGGGGAAAATGTGAATAGAATGATAAAATAACTTGAAAAACCAAGCAAGTGTGCTAAATTATTTTGTATTTCATTTCATCTTCTTAAACAATTAGTTTTCATATTCTAATCTCTCATGAGGATATCTATTGGAAAAATAGTTTTTACCGCACTAAACTATTTTTTAAGAGAAAAGTTTTTTTTTTGTTTTTTTATAGTTTTCGGAAAATGTTTTTGTTTATATTATGATGAATGATCGAAAAAAGTGGTCGGATTTATAAGAAAAATACAGACTTTCAAATTGTTCCTCTGTATTCTATCTCACCTCACTCTGTTTATTTTTATTTCTTTATTTTATTCATTCAATAACAATAGTGTCAAATATTTTAAAATAGTTGTTTCCGTAAAATGTTTAATGTATATCTTATTTGCATAGTTGACGAAGAAGTCAATTATCCTTGGTGTTTTGCGTTTATTAATGTATATAAAAGTATGACAATCTTTAGGAAAAAAAACAAAAATTTTTTTTTTTTCTTTATTTTGTTTTCGGTCACTAATGGAGTTGATGAAATTCAGGACCTGACTAGGCACTCTCATGATCCTATTCGATAGAACTAAATTTCCTTTGAGATTCTAACTACAACTATAATAATAAAAAAAAATAAAATTTTTAAGAGTAATGCTGAATATTTTTTGTAATATCTTTCATTAGCCAAGAATCCTAGAGAACGTTGACTTACTATTTTATTAAGTACACTTTTCTTCGTAAAAAATAAGACAATTACAAACTCCAGGCGACATTTCATTTGAAAGATATATAGATAAAAAGATGGTAGAAAATATTATGAGAGTACATTTTCGCTCAAGTTACATGCAATGGCTCTAAGATATATATCAGAAAAAACTGAGACTTAAAGTAAAAAACTATAAATAAAGCAAGAATTTTAGAAAAATACATAATATTTCCAGCGACGTCTATCCTGTGGGACGTTTGAGACGCAATGCCTCAAACAAAAGTAAGGTGGGACGCTTTTTTGCTATAGAAATTAATTTTTCAGATGGTATTGGGAGATCGAATCTCTGAGGTGATACAAAATGTCTCAAGTATTCAGATGGGAATAGACGCCGCTGAATATTTCAAATGTCAGTATCTGTCTGCATGAAAATTTCAAAGAAAGAAATTTACTTACTATAAATCCTTCATACCAATCAACAATTTGTTCTTTTGAAAATTCAGTATTTTCTTGTAAAAATTGTAGATCAGCTTTAGATAATTTCTTTTTAGATGACACACATCCCATTCTAACTATTTAATTGTACACTAGTAAAATAGGTAAATGGGCTCATGTTTCCTTACATGAGGCAACAAGTTTAGAGTTGTCATATGCATAAAATCAACTATAGACTATGTATGTCTAATACATTCTTTTGAACATTGGTACAACAGAAAAATAGAAAACAATTTGTTTCTCTCCAATTTTATCACTATTATTTTTTTTTTTTGTTCTTTTCTTGTCATCATTTTTTTTTTCATTTTTTTTTTTGCAAAAAAAATATATCGTGTTTCTGCTGCAACTAGACGGAAACCGATTATATATACAAAAAGATATAGAGCGCGTCAGTGAGCTATATATATTGCATTCCTAATAATTTTGTTAACATATACATATATTTATGTGATATTATAATTTTCATTTTCTTTTTCTAATTTTCCTTTTTCTTCTTTTTCTACATTAATAATAGACATTGTCTATCTATCTCTCACGCCCGCATCATCACTATCTCGCTAGTGTAATATAAATATTCGGACAGCTAAAGATCGAAAAAGAAGAAAACAAATAACTAACGATAATAATACTAAGCAATAATTTTTAGTTTTTTTTTTTAATGGAATGAACATAGATAGAATTATCTCATTATGAACAGAAAAAAACGGAAACGGGAACGAGGGGTGCGTCTCACTGTATTTATTTTTTTTTTCTTTCATTGTTCTCTTCTTTTATCTATGAAACACAAATTAGAGAAAAAAAAAAATCAACAACAGTTCGAGAATTATGACATTGTTTAAACAAAAATCATAATCATTAATTGAGCACAATCGACAAACAGATCAGAGAGAGATAATCGCTTAATATGTATATGTATATATATATATATATATATAAAAGAAATCGGTAACTGAAACAGATGAAATATTCTTCGCTCTAAAATGCAATTCCAAAGAGAAGTCGGCTAATAAAGCGACAATTAATAAGACAATAGAGTATCCTGAAAGTCAACGACATAACAAACACTTGTTTCAAAAGAAGAGAAAAGAGTAAAATTTGTTCCCACTTACATACACGAGATAAGCAGTAGCGGATTAAGAATTTTTTAGGACAGTTTTTCTTTGAAAACCTTTTTTTCGCAACATCAGATACAGCATTTTTTATTTTTGATTATTAGTGTACGATAGTCGCTATCTTGGCCCTGTCCTAAATCCGCCATTTTAGATCCGACAGATACTCCAATTAAATTATGACATAAATCAATGATATTGTTGAAAGACTTTTGTGAAAGTAAAAGTAGGTATGAGTCGTTAGACTAAACAAGCGATAAGTTGAAATTTCTTATTGTATGGAAAAATGACTTTGGAGTTTGATTACCGTATCTTACATGAAGATTAAGAAAAAAATACGGTGATCTCAGCATTTTACGACGTATTCGAAAAACGTATAACATCGTACAACTAAGAGAATCATTTGATATGCACAAAGATTATTAACAAAATTAAGCGATCAGTTCCATCAAGATATATTATAAAGGTTTCTGGCAAAATTGCGTTGAAATAAAAGCTTCAGCTCCATTAAAAACATTAGCTATAATTTGTACAGAAATGAAAAAAAATTCCTCTTATAAATTCAATAATTAGATGAAAGTTTTAGAGAAATTCAGGTGAAAAAACAAATTTCTGTATTTCTTTTCGTTTTTTGAATTTCTGCTACCATTACCGAGATATTTTATCCCATAGACAGCGGTGTTTCTGCAGATGTCTCCCGAATTGTAGAAAGAATAGATTCGGAAATTTTAATTTGCATTAATGACCGGCATTTCTTCGAAGAAAGTGCATATCTTGTACATATCTTAGAAAGTGCATCATTTCTCTATCGTATGAAAATGGATCAAGTATAGGTACTCCTTAAGTATAGAGATATTTCATATATGGTAATGGTGTTGACCTAGTCAAAGTTTTCCATTAAACTTTTTTGTCAGTACCAATGTCAATTTAACATCTACGACATGATATAAAATTTGATTTTGATTTGGTCTCGTCACATCATTATGTAGAAAGTCGATGTATTGTTGATAAATTTTACCTGAATACGATGAAGCAACTTATACTTTCACAAATTCTTTTGTATAGACTAATCTTATTATTCAATCAGTTGATCACTTTTTATACAGCTTAATCGAGTCTGTTAGTGTTCTACGTTTCTCAATGACATCAGCATTGTCATTTCTATTATCAAAAGGAATAAGAGAAAGAAACATGTAGTAATTTTGTGAAATTGAAATGTCTTGAAACAGTTGACGTTCTTTTCTTTTCCGCATCTGTCAATGATGATCGATATATCAAGAGGGTAAGAGCGATGAAGATTAGCGCAAGTTTATTATGAATATTAGAATATGTGAACATGCAAAGAAAAAAAGAATAAGTACATGCTATTTTAAGTTGAATTTATATCTCGCTTTCATCTCATGGAAGAAAAATGAGATGAAAAAGAAAGTTTAGTCTCGATTTGTCTTTTATAAATTTTTTATTCTTATTTCGTCCTACCTCGTTTCTCCCGTATATGCATGCATAGGATACATTAAATAAATTATTTGTTATTAAAAGTATATGCAAGATATATGAAAAAAAATTAATAAATTAAAAAATTAAATTGAATAAAAAATTAGATCTTTTCTTGCCTGTCAGTTGTCATAGCGTATCTCTATGCGTCATACATCGTCAAATACCGCTGTCGCTTTCTGGTCCAAAACCAAACGATATTTTAAATCAGCTTCCTCTTTTTCTCATGCATTTCTAGTAAATAATGATAAAATGGAACGTGATCAATCAAAAGTGGTTGGGGTGACGGTCGATCATTATGAGCAACTTTTTTCGGAACCTGAGCTTATGCATCCTCATCCATATGTGGATTCTTTATCAATAGTTTGGGACAATATTGACGAGAAAATTCTACTCGTAAAGGTGGACGAGATCATAGGTGTGGTGTCTGCATGTAGTAAAGAACATTCGTGTGACACACACGGTCTTTCATCATTTCTGTTTAAGTTTCTCCCTATGGAATATTGGACGTTATTTTTGCAATTATTTAATTTATCATTCTCCACTTTCTATCATTTCATTCATCTTCATAAAAAGATGTAGACCTGATCATCTGAGCTGAAAAGGAGTCTGCTCCGTTACCGGAACGAGATCGATTTTGCTACTTCATATCTTTGTTAGAGAGATTATTAGAGAGATTCATTTTTAAGTAGGTTTCAGCAGGTTCTCAGGGTTCGAAGTATCCTTCCAGATTCACAGTCAGGTTTTCGCCCGGATTTTCGCTTAAAAACACGTGTACTGCTTCTTATTGGACAAATCTTTCCCTATATGAGCAACAACTCCCCTAATTTTTGTGGATTTTAAAAGTGCGTTTGATCAATTATGGTTCGAGGGATGTCTCAGTAAGTTAGGTAGATTAGATATTCCACAAGCATATGTCGAGTGGATAAGAACGTAGCTTGTGAAAAGGAAACCTTTCATGGAATTTAATGGTTGTGGATCGAGACTCTTTTCAATTTTGAGAGGCGGCCCACAGGGTTCCAGTTTTACCTCAATCCTGTTCATAGCATAACATTGTGGCATGGAGAAATTCATTGAGATGTGTTCATCTTTTTTTTGCTGATGAGCTTGCTGCAGCAATGGCGGATCGCATTAGTGTGAAATTTTATCAACAATGTTTAGATCTTGAAAGAAAACTATCAAATTTTTTCGACTTTCTTGAGTTTTACTCTATTCTTTCAGTACAACCCTTAAACTATGATAAAACGGAAGCGCTATGGTCAGCACGCACTACAGAAAACCCTCCGTTTAATCTTTTTTGTGACTTACATCAAATCAAGCGGGTAAAGGAATGCAAATATTTAGGCTATGGACTTACATCGAAGTTAGGTTTCTCAAGAATGATCACTAAAACTGTGTTAAAAATAAGGCAAAAGTTATCGATGATTAGCTCGTGTCGTATTTCAGGGTCTTCATCAAAGTTCTGTTTTTATGTTTTGTGCTACCTAGTTTTACGTAGTTGTTTGCACGTTACTCTCTTCTTACTGATAAACAACAACAATATCTTTCACATTTCTATTATGTATGCAGGAAACGAGCCTATTTCTGTCTTCAGTGATCTGATCATTTCCTTGCTCATATGAGTGAATTGCATAGCCATTGTACGGTTGGCTGTCGGAGAATGTGTTGCTTGTAAAAGCTGTTTCACTCAACAGATTTTAAATGTCTTTTTATTATTTTGTTTGTTTAGAAATGGTCATTCACTTGTGGAGAAACGAACTTTCCATCTCAAGAGGATACCGAGATGTACATCGAGCAAGACCAAAATCAACTGTTTTGGGTTCCATATGGAGAAAGAATCAACTTTTCTATATCATTTATTTAACCTTGTTCTAAAAGTTTTTAGAGTTTCTTGTAGCCAGAAAATAAAGTTTTCAGAATATATACTTTAAATTTAAATAAAATAAAGTTTGGATCTGATTCTATCAAAAACCTCTATTTCAGAATAATTTTGCAAAATTCTGTCCACCGAGATTAGAACTAGATTCATACGCTAATGACAATTCGCAAACAGTTTTAACACAGACAGAAAGATAGAGTGTAACAAGCTCTACATTTTGGCAAAAAACGAAAAGTTTAGAGCTTTTTATTTAACCGAAAATCAGGACAAAACATGTATTCAATCTGCTTTTTAGTACAAAATGTCCACCGAGATTTTAAAAATTGTTTGGTGCATAACTCCGGAACAGTTTATCCGTTAGAGCCAAACTTTTACTCCTTTTTCATTTCCTGCTAAGAACACGTGGTAAAAAATCCCGACTCTTTAGCTTGCCTTGTAACAGAGAAAATCTCATTTTATACCGAAAATGTCCACCGAGATTCTTTTCCTAAAATATGTCTTCCGAGATTCTTTTGTCCATATTTCGACTAAAATAACTTCTTATTCCAACTCATCATTTTTAAAGATTTAATTAATTATTGTGACTAAAC